GTAAGTTTTCAATATTCATATTTGTCGAATTCTTATCACACATGTGGCATTTCGCGAAGATATAAGGTTATTATAATTTTTGGTTAGGAAAAGAAGCGGCGTTTTTCGAACATGGATGTATTTTTTGCTCGCGGCCTGAGACTTAGTATTGAATTAGGCAATGCCTCGGTATTGTTAACAAAATATCTTCCATTGTCAGCATGTTGCACATGTCGTGTCAATACACGTTGGAAGTCAGCATTTCCTGGTAAGTTCAAACATGAACATGGTGAACTTTAATAGATTCAATATGCATTATCAAGTATTTTCACTTATTTCACTTGCAGAAAGGTATCATCGTTATAAGGCCGCATCATATAATTCCTTAGGCCTTGTAAATAATATACTTGTTTATCAAAAGTCATTGAAACGAGAGATTAACAAAAATGGTATTACCCTGGCATATTATTCTGACCTTAAACGAAACTCTGATGGTGATTGCCAAAAACCTCAAACAGAACAAAAACTGACAGTATTTCAAAAAATGAAGCAAATGACTAAAGATTACTGGCATGTGTTAATACCTGTGCATGTGATTACTTCTATAGGATGGATAGCTATATTCTATACTGCTGTTAGGAAGTATGTACTAATGTAATTAACATATTACTGTCATTTGAGTTTGGCAATTAATCAACATAAAACTATATTTTTAGTGGTGTGGATATAGTCCAGTTGTTGGAATATATGAATTTTAGCGAGAAATATATAGATTTAGTACGTAATTCGAGTGCTGGTAACTGGGCTATTACTTATGCTCTTTATAAGATATTTACTCCACTCAGATATACTGTTACTGTTGGTTTGTAATTTTAATATTTTATGTAATAGATAATTTGTGCATTATGTTAAATATTAATACTAAAATATAACAGGAGGAACGACAATGGCAATTAGGCATTTGAGCAAGTTAGGCTATGTGAAAGCATTGTCATTCAAGCTTCAATCAGTAGAGGTGAGTAATGTACCTGAAATGCAATGTCATTTTCTGAAATTGAAGAAATAAACTATTCAACATATAATTATATCTGTGTTTGTACTTGAAATATCTTGTCTTGTCTGTTCTTTTTACATGCACACGTGGTGCAGCCTGCGGGCAAAGCTATGAGTAGGTTACCGATCACGATTAATCTCAAATATATCATACTGATCTCTTTTGCTTTTGTTTTTGGCGAGGTGCTCTTATCACGTAAACAGTAGTATCGTAGATTTTGTTTCTCGATCTTACGGCGGCATGTATACTCTTCGTAATTGTCTTTAATCGTGTTGTAGCCAGTACAGTCAAATAAATGTGCAGCAGAACACAAGACAAAATTCAAGGCAGAGTGTAAAACGGGCCGACACACGGAACCGCCAAAACCATAAATATTACTGTCGCGCTATGTCGGACCTACTGATCGGACTGGGCTCGATAGTTCGGAGATTTGTTGTATATTTGGGTTTATAAATATATATTGCATCATTGTAAATCATTTCCTGCATTAAATATTCCTTCATTATTTATCCCGTTCATCATACAGTCGAAGGGTACAATGGATCGATACAAAATATTGAATAAAAAATGCATTTACTGCAGTTTGTCTTTATTGAAGGATAGTCATTTATACACACTGCAATTTAAATAAGATTATACTTTATAGTTATCTACAATATGCGCGCGAATTTAAAATTGTATATAACAATTACGCTTAGACCTGAAGAATAACAATAGTTATTTGGCAGCTCGAGTTGTGCGTCTTTCAATGCTATAATGTTGTATATTAATCGTTATAGCACGCTTACATACTTTTTCAGTATCGATTCTATGCTTTGTGCGAAAACATTAAAGCAGTCATTAAAGACTACGAAGTGTATCCCGACGAGCTTCAATATTACGAGTACTCGCAGCGAATCGATATATCTGACTTAATAAATACTGTCAATGAATGCTATATGAAGTACAATGAAATTTGATCGGTAGAGGAAATTTGCAGGAATGTTCCTGAGATTCATATTTCCGTCATAAATTTGTATTACAATAAACATTCAAAAATGTTATATACACATGTTAAAAAGTATGAAGTTTGCTTAAAAACGCATAATTATTATGCTACTATATCACAGTTGCCTGCGCAACTAGTCGTTCTAACGAAACCACTGCATTCGCAGAGTACCTTTATTAAATAAATAAGAATCGCATATATTAAATGTACCACTTATCTAGATTCTAAATTATCTTCGATTAAAAAGAACTTGTACTCATAATCATATGCTACGTGTACTGACCCAGATAGCCAAGTCTGTAGAAAGCAGATTTTTTAAATGTCTGCTACACACTATGCCAACAAAATAGCAACAGAATTGTTGCAGAATTAGATATACATATTAATGTTGACAGACTGCTAGAAAAAAACATAACGGAATCAGATAATGTCGGCAGGATTAGCTCAGTTTCTGCCAACAATTTGCCTTCACATTTTGTCAACAGGCGATGTTAACAGAACACAAGCCCAATGTGGACGCAGTTTATGGCAGACTGTCGTCATTTTCTGCTCGAATCTACTGACAGTCTACTAGAAGACTGCAGACATTTTGCTATCTGGGGACATATCAAATTGATCCCAGAAGACAATATAAAATTTGCAATTTTCTAATTGAAACTAGTCTTAATACTTCAAATTTATTTCGTTTAAAAATCGGAATAATTAAAATCACATTTTTTTCTACAAGAAATGTTCCTAGGACGCGACAGATTAAATATTTTTATCGTACATTAATTAACAGCCTGATTAATTAACAGTATTGATTCGATAATTTACTTTTCATAAGAAATATTGACAATTATATTAGCACATACGCCGCGATAGATTAAAAGTGACAACTATGGTAGCAAGAATCCTGCGTAATAAGTAATTAATGCGTAAAACGTGATTGAACCGATGATCAGTTTTTACCTAACGTTATGAATAAATATTCAAAGACAGATTCATAATTATATTTGTTGCGAATGTTTTTTTACACAGTTCTATTTCTGTCGATCTGTGTCAAACTAAGTAGCAAATATGTCAAAGGTCGATTTCGTAGTTCGTTTTTGTTTCAAGATGTCAATACACTCAACAAAAAATGACCATCGAATCGACACCTAATTGACATCGTATCATCGATATTATATTTGTATTGATGTCGACATCAATTTGATGAGTCATTTCTCACTGGCATAAGTCTGTAATTGATTTACGATATCTTAAGATTAATTTAAGACAATCTTGAATATAAGAATGTACTGTATAAATATCGGCCAAAGTCTGCTTGATTTTTACCATTAATCTGTTTTAATTTAATCAATTTTGACATGTTTCTTACTAGATCTTGTATTTGTAACTTTTTTGCTATTCTCTAGAATCTGTTGTCAATAGATTTTGATTGTCTGGGAATAATCGAGAAAGTTTGTAATTAAAGCGATATAATAGATCATACCAATCTTGCAAAAAGTTTTAATATCTCACAAGGGATCATCTCGGTTTGTACAACAAGATAATGAAAATCTTTGATATCAGTAAAAGTTGACAGCATAAGATGCAAATTAAGGAAAAAGGCAAGAGCGTATTATAGGTCGTAGGTTCCAAGAAATTTAGTGTTATAGTGCATGGTAAAAGTTCTAGAATGGCTAATATCTCAAAAAATAAACAATAAGAATTTTAGTGGACTATACATTTGAAAATTCAACAATAAGAAGTGGAAGTAATGGCCGTAACGGTTAAAACTAAATCTTTAAATGTTTAAATAATTCAATCTGAATTACTATATATACTATATATGTACTTGCATATAACTAAATGCAGTGTATTTGCTGATATGTTGCAGCAACCAATTTCGACAAACTCAGGACAAGATGAGACAGCATTATGTCTGTCGCGTTGAATTCAATGAAATTCAAATTCTTGCGATTCGGCAAATTGATGGCAATATATCAGCATGAATATCCTCGACAACAACTAGTGTTGTCATATTGTCAGCATTTTGTTAGCAATGAGCTTAAGACGAAACGATTAATTATTCGTTGCTAACATGTTGCCGATCATAATGTACCATCATTGCTCATAGTTTGTTCTAGAAATTTCGACAACTTATTACATATATAAGCAGTCATGTTGTTATATTTATAACATGTCCTATTTTTATGTCAGCAAATATACAGCAAATATGTAACAACATATGTAATATATTAGTTTGCACAATACGCTACATTACGCTTAGCTATCTGGATAGTATACCATATTTGTAGTCATTCGAACTGCGCGCCGAATTGATTTTCAGGAACGTTTATAAGTCCGGAAAACCAATTCGTCACGCAGTTCGAATGACTACAAATATAGTATACAGGGTGGCCCATATAAAGTGTTACAAGCTATTATCTCTAAAAGTGTGTGTCAAATGACTAATATGTTCAGACAAGAAAAGTTTTATGACTTTGAAAAGAGCATAAGATGGTACTATTTGTTTGACTTTAGGTAGCGTTGTCAAAGTGAGAGCAAGGCTACTTTGAATTTTTTAAATGGAATCCCTCATTGGGCACCCTGTATATGCATATATAGTATATATAGTAATTCAGATTGAATTATTTAAGCATTAAAAGATCTAGTTTTAACCGTTTACGGCCATTACTTCCACTTCTTATTGTTGAATTTTCAAATGTACGGTCCAGTAAAATTCTTATTGTTTATTTTTTGAGATATTAGCCATTCTAGAACAGGGATCGGCAAAAAATTAATATTAAATTAATGATTACTGATTACATGATTAATCAAATAATAAAAATTTTTTATTCCGATTACTTGATTAATCAGGTAATTAAAAAATTTTTATTCCGATTACTTGATTAATCATGTAATCAGTAATTAAAGTAAAAAATATTACTAAAAAAATCATTAATTCCGATCCCTGTTCTAGAACTTTTACCATGCACTATAACACTATAACACTAAATTTCTTAGAACCTACGACCTATACGCTCTTGCCTTTTTCCTTAATTTACATCTTATGTTGTCAACTTTTACTGATATCAAAAATTTTCATTAACTTGTTGTACAAACCGAGATGGTCCCTTGTCAATTGTTTTTGATGGTTTGAAGATTAGAGTGGAAGCTGTTAACTCAATTAAATCAAAGCTATTAATTGATATCACATCGTCGCTTTTCCCCGTTTTTTAATCAATTTTGCCGAGAAAGTCTATTTTCAAAACTAGGCCCTAATATGTATTATGATATATGATATGTATGTCCTGATTCTATAACATTCAGGAATATATGTTAACATTGATTCCTTCGTTTTATTTAATTGATTTTCATAGCATTCTTCATCGGATGGGTGTTACGTGCGCAATTCGAAATGGTCCGGCAGATGCTTGAACATCAGTACACTTAGCCCATAAACTGATAGCTAGCGGACACCGGTTGCGGTGCTCTCGGTTGCATATGCGATATGCGTTGGATGTGACACGCACGACACATAAGTCTGCCTTCAAGTGGGTAGCACCGTTTATCCGGCTCGTCGGTCAATTGCATGCCACAATCCTCACAAACGTAGCAGTCCACATGAAAGTCTTTGTCCATCGAGACCACCCTAACCGTTTCCTCAGTTCCCTAAAATAGAAAAGAACACAGCTCGTAAAAAGAGATTTTATCGGGATTTTAACGCCTGCTATGCGCCTTAATGACGTAAGCGAGTTAATTTCTAGCCCGCATACCTCAACCGGCGTGATTCCCTTTCCACAAGATGCACACTTAGGCGCGAACATTCTGTGGTAATCGTTTACACAATAGATCTTATTGTCAACATCGACCGTAAAGGGAACGCCATCGAGACATTCGTTGCACACGCAACACCTGAAGCAGCCCGGGTGATACGATTTGCCCATGGCTTGCAGTATCTACGGAAAGCAAAAGGTGATGTTACACTGAATTATAATGGAAATCTAACGGATAATAATGACTCGACTCTCGTCGCTTACCATTTCCATGATAAGGTGGCCGCAAATCGCGCACTTCTCGGCTGTCTGTTGGAAACCAGAATACTGCGAATCCCCAACAATTTATATGAGTTACGTGAATTAAGTGTGATTTCAATAACTGTTATTTCCGTCATCAGCATTAAAATAGCTCACATACCAAGTAATCCTCTTCACAGTAAACCCTGCCATGAACGTTGTAAAAAGCTTTGCCACGGAGAGCCCTTCCGCAGGAACAGCATATGAAGCAATTGGTATGATAGAGATTACCCATTGCTTGACAAGCCTGTCCGGCACCGGTCACTTTCTCACCACATGTATGGCAAATACCTATCATCAAGAAATATTAATGTGAAACTTTATGAGCTACGAAATAATAAAGAAGAAGTATGAATCCTTTCGTTGCGATATACATATAAATCAAAATTGTTTGTCGAACAACATTACAAATATTTCTAAACATTTACACTTTTACAAACGAATTAAAAATTGCTTATATTCAACAATTCATATTCAAATTATTATAATAAACTAGAAGTATAAATCATAATTCAGTGAAAAATTGGATTACATTGTGAAGTGAGAAGTCCGAAAATCGTTTGTAGCACAATATATTCGTGCGGAGTTCAAGAACACGAGAATTGAAGTTTACTCATCGGGGAGTTAAAAATATACCCATCTCTCGACGAACGTGATAATGTGGCACATTCATCATGTTTGCATGTTCATAAGAATTTAAAAATCACCCGGTTTATTGTGGATGAACGCGAACTCACAGCTCTCGATAGGTAACAGCAATCCTGCCATCCCTTAACACAATCGTTTTCGAAAACTGCACCCACACTAGCTGTTTATTGCAACTTGGTTTCGTTAGACTAGATTGGACTAGAATCCGAGTTGGACTGGTTTATCTATAATGGGATTTGCTCCCGAGCATAGCGATACGGCCACGCGTATAGGACGTTACACGAAGACTACTAGCTGTTTAAGTATAAAAGCGACTAGAGAGACATTACGTTCGCCTAAACGATTGTCACTTCTCGACTGACATTGCTTCGCTCAACCGAGGTTCCTGTCTAGTTGTGCTTCATTCCTTATTGCGCGATTTAGGCTGCGTTCACATTTATTTTCTAGATTATCGTGATAATTTTCTAATTATCTACATTATAGCATCTTCCTTTGTCTTTCTTTGCATTACTTGTTTAACATTTTCAAAAAAGTAAAGTTAATAATCTTCATCATTTTAATACAATAAATATTTTATTAAATTGTTATAGTATCGATAATTTTATTCTATACTATAATCGAGATTTTATCCTATTAATAATAGATTTGTTTGATCAAATTTGATATCGTTTGACACGTAGAGATTTTTAAAATATAGAGGAAAGTCCCCTATTATGAGATAAGCGCCTAATATGAGATAGCAGCGTTTCTGCTAAACGCTATCTATTCTAATAAACGCTATCTATTGGTTCCACTATGAATTTATTGCTCTTGGATTGAAAACTATTTAGTAAAAAGTTCATTATTAGATCATGCCTGTAGTTATTGTAAAACAAGATTTTAGAATTTGGATGTCTTCAAGTTTTATTGAGACCTTGTTTATTATTTAATAATAAATAAAAAATAAATATTTGGCAATAAAATCTTCATATAGTGATAGAGTAAGGTCGTACTAATAGAAAAATACGGGATATGTTGAATTGTTTAATTATAGAAGTTAGATTTGATGATCGTAAAGCTATAAGGCGTGGAAATCGTAATATGAGATACCCAGGGTATTCCTAATATGAAATATATTAGGAATGCTCCTATGTTATAGTAAGAATCGTTGCTAAAGTATAAATGTTATTGTACAACAATAAAAAAGACAACCGGAATGAACGTCGAGTGCCTATATCTGCGATGCTTGATTCCAACTACCTGAAAACAAGTTCTAAGTATAATCTATCGTATGCTCATTTTTCGCGCACGCTGGCTATGTTTGTTCGTATTTTAGAAACATTAAATAAAGTTTTTTAATTGCAATATTGATATACTTTCCGTTTTACTATCGATTTTTCGGGACATCTCATATTAGGAGCACAATTTTTTCATTTTGCGTTTTGCTCACTTTTTACATTTCTTTAATTTAAAAAAAAAATGGAATTTGAATTAAATTTTAGGTAACGTCATCTTAAAACTTATTAAATTCCTTTCAAAATGATATATTTGTTTTTATACATTTTTTTTTATTCTGCTTATAGACTTCTAGCATTTACCCAAAATGAATTCGATATCTCATAATAGGGACCTTTTCTCTATTATTTAATTCCTTCAGATTTTTTATAGTTCTTAAAAGTGAAAAAATTAAAGAAATATCTCATTTTTAACATCAAAACAATAATATCTATTATATTAAAGCAAAAATATTAAATTTTTAGAAAAAATATGTGATAATAATATGGTTTAATACGATACATAAAATGGTTTATTATTATATACGAAGAAAAAATAGGAAGAAATAGATTCAACAGAACATTTTTAGTTTATATTTCTCATGAAGTAATTAGCATAAATAAACATAACAGAAACAGAGAAAGAGAAAAAGACAGCAAGGAAGGCACAAAATTTAATTTGCTCATTCTACATCAGGCGTAATCTTGTAAACTGCGTAGTTGAAGAATATGCTTATCATACTTGACACAAGGAAGCCATAGAAACTATTAATCGCATATTGTTGTATCGATTCAACACGTTGCATCTACCGATATTAGTACGAGTGTTACTTTAATACCTTTAAAGAGTCGTAAGATTCAAGTGAGCTATCTATTTGTGTATGCATCGCATTCGTTCTCGGTCCTTTACGCAAGAGAAAGACGTGAGAGAGGTACGTGGGTGGAAGCTGACACAGCACGCGAAAGAGTGAATGTCAACGAATTGTCGCGCTAAAAAGTATTGCGACGCACCGAAACTCGATTCCGTTTTCCGAAACCGGTCTACTGCGAACTCACGCCGTGGGAATTGGCACAGCCTTCGTATCGTGCCTTTTAGCGTTTCAGAGAAATATCTAAAATTATGGATTTACTCGGGGCGATCGTACCGTGCGAACCTGCGATCATCGTTTCCTTATCATCCTTCTCTCTTTCATTACAAATATGGAAGAAGAACAAAATAAAAATGTAGATAATCCCAAAAAGTATTGAAAGCAATAATTTAGATTTAGATTAAGTAATACGTGTCTAGCTCGTTATCGCGTAAAAATATATGAAACGCGAAGCGTAATCTCGGTTTTCTGAAACGAGTGAATAAACATTGCGTAAGCAAATTTTTTCTTACCAAAATATTCTCCTTCTTCCTCTTGTTTCTCCATTTCTTCTTCAAGTTGTCTCGTTAATTCCTCTATTTTTCTTTCCGCTTCCGTTGGTCCCTGAGAGAAGTAATTTGCATGAAAAACATTAATTATTAACATTAATCATTAATCACTAACAATTAAATATCGGATCTATGCGTACTTCATGTATACAACAAAAACTGTTACCTAACTATTATTTTATATAAAATTAAGTCAAGAAATTAATGGACAGTAGCGGTTATTATTTATTACTTCATTATATACAAACTACTTATAAAGCAATATTAAAATTTTTTAAAAACATGGATTATTATTTTTTATCCTTAAACGCCCGATATAGTACCCCAAATATTATGAAACGCTATTTTTCTTTCAGTTTTCTCGTTGTTTTTGATTTTGATGTGTGATAGATAAACAGAGAAGTATGGAAAAACGAAAAAACGAAAACAGAAAGTGTTAAAATAAACTTACGTGTAAAATATTCGGTGAATGCATGTCGCTGTCAGCGAAGAGCAATTTACCGGTAATGACTCATTGAATACATGAAGAAAGAATTTTTGGGAGATGAAATCATAAGCACTTTTTCAAATTTTATGCATCACAAAATGCATTATGTATATTTAAGCAATAAAGAAGTGTAAAATGCTAAGAAATAAATGTAGCATTCGCAAGTTATATTTTTATTTCAAATACAAGTTAAATGGCAGACTTGTTTTTTGTATTTAAACTAATGTACACTTTTTGCACTTAAAGTAAAATAGATATTTGAAAAAATTTGATATTTGCGAAAAGGAAAGTTCTAGTGCAGTGTAGTAATAAGAAATAAGTCTTTTATTATCACAGGTCAGACGTTATGTAAAATAAATAAAATTATCGGTATTAATAAGATAATCGTTAAAACAAGATAGAAGAGACATATTTTAGAAGTTACTATGATCTTTGAGAATTTGAACAAACTACATTAGCAAGTGTCGATAGTCTTTACTTTTTAAACATTGAGTGCGATAAGACTAATTTAAACGGAGTAAGATTACGTTTTGTTGTGTTAAGAACATCGCCTACCTTTCTTGTAGAATATAATTTATACACAATTACAATAATTCAGTTATACTTATTTTCATTAATTTTTAGTAAAACATGAAGTAATATATGATAAGAGTATAGGGGACAGAAAAAAATACAGAGAAATACATAGAACTTCTAGAATGAGATTTGGTAAGCAGATGAGAGCACATAGCTTTTAACGGACATCTTGCAAGTAGTAACAAACTTACCGAAGGTCTAGAAATGACATTGTAGGGTAAGAGTCCCTTGCCAGGTGCTGGCTTGATCGGCGGACTAACAGATTTTCTCTCTTCTGCTTCCGAATCCGAAGGTCTTTGCAACACAGGAACACCAGCATTTAAAAGTACGGGCCCTGCAACTCCACTGGTAACGCCAGGAGGAAGGCTCGTGATCCTGGGACCAGCATTAGCATCAATTTCATTAGTTGTAGTTGAAGCACTATTGACAGGTGCTTGTACCTGTCCACGTATAGGACTTCCAATAGAATTGGTAGACGAAAGAGACAGTCCATGTCTTGGCGAATTAATTATATTTTGCGAAGCAATATCTAATGGTATTTGACCATGAGTTGGGCTTTTCGGAGATTCTCTCACTGCATTATTGTTGGCAACAATAGCCCTAGTAGGATCACTTCGGCTTGGAGAGTATAAAGATGAACTCCTTGTAGGTGGGAGATCTGATACATCTGACATGTAGTTTCGATCACTTTGTTGCAATGTGCCTAATCTCAAATGTTCTGCTGAGCGATTTGAAGAATAAACAGGAGAATTTCTGGCGGGGAAATTTTCTTGATGATGATAGTTTCTGTCACTCTGAGGCATTGAACGATTTGGAGAATAACATGGAGGATTACGACATGCAGTCTGTTCTCCTGGACGAATTCCATATACTGGAGAATTTCTAGTTTGCGAGTCCCCTGTGAAATTTGTATTTGTAGTCCTTGAAGAAACTTCATACGGCTTATAATTAATTTGCGGATTATCCTGTCGAAATTGAGAAGGTTGATTATTATCAACCTGATTTGTAGCACGAAATCCTTGTTGTCCACTTATAGTATTTTCCAATGAACCGCGATAATGATGAGGTTCTGGTGGTAAGCGTATCGGAGGGGATTCACTATGGTATGGTAAACCAGATCTTGAAGATTGTTGCTGCTGCTGATCAGTATTGTAATTAAAGTTTCTATTTGGTGGTTGCAATTCGGAGGGAGGTACGTAAGCGCTTCTACCAGATTGAAGATCTGAGGAAGCAGAGGATGAGCTCTGTAAGTACTTAGCAGTAGATGAATCGATTGATCGCTGTAAACTTGAACCATCGTAACTCTGACCGCGTATACTTCCACTTCTTTGTTGAGTATACGATAAACTTTGAGTCATTCCACGTTGATTTTGAGATTGACTCACTTTTCCAGTCATAACAACGTAGTCACCGCCATTGATGTTTGCTGGATGATAATAATTCGGTGGAACTTGAGGTCCTGGCTTGTTTTGCATGCTCTCAGAAAAGTGCACTTCCTGTATGTTTTCGTATACTGGTGGTGCTTCATACGGCGGTAATTCTTTTGCTGGTGATGCACTTTGATAACGATTGCCAGTTGGCACTTGCGGTTGAGCTTTCCTGTAATTGCCTTCATAGGAATCACCAACTAGGGAACCTCTAGGACTACCTTTGGGGCTTTTCCTAGATTCTATTGGATGATAATAAGGAGGATGTGGCTGATTCTGCTGTGGATAGTAATCTATATTCTCATAAACAGGAGCCTGTTGATGGCTTGTACGAGTCTGATTTTGTTGTTGTTGCTGTTGCTGCGCACTGATTTGTTCTACTGGTTTCGGCGTAGCAAATCGTGAAGCAGCTATTATGTTTTCACGCTCATATAATTTATATTCAGTGGCGGCTACTTGTCTAGAGATATCTGAAGAATTGCCTTCAATAAAACTCTCAATAGCGCCGACCGGTCTACCAGACGCTCTAGCGTCGTTCCTGTTAATCGCATTTCTTGACACAGGTACCTGGGCTTCGGGTCTCGAACCCGAGCCTCTAGTGGTACCACCAGCATCCGCAGTATCATCTCCAAGATGCAAATAACCTAATTTTTGTACGTAAGAAGTATCTGCCGAATTGCACATTGGCAGTGATTCTCGTTGGCACGATGATAAGTCAGAATGTCGTTGAATCTTTGGCGTGCACTTTAATCGAATTTTCAAAATCAAGGCACTGTCGACGAATTCGATTCAAAGCTACTGGACATCATATATGTAGTGTTACAGTAACTAGATGGTTTGTGTGCCAAAACGATTCCAATTTGCTCTTGCCTCGTCGTTCTCCTTCTTCTCCTTTTCTCTTTCTATTCTTCCTTACGTATACGGTCTCATAATCTTCTCACGGGATAGCACGAAATCTGATGTAAGATATATGCCAGTAAATCCTTTTTGCTTCTTCGATTTCGGACTACGCCCCTCGACCAGGGCGCCTCGGATTTGTGTTGTTGCTTCTCGAGTGCGAACACGCCGACCGGCGCACACCTCGAGCTTCTCTCGTTTCGGTACCGAAAAATCACCACCTGCGAAAATTCATGCGACAGCGCAAACGCACGCAGGAACGCAAGAATATTAAGTCAGTATCATCGTCTCTTGTCAAGACAGAAACCTGCGACAGGTGTCGTGGTATTATAGTGCTGTTTTCTTGCTACTTCTTATCATGAAGTGGCGCTAAATGTAAGTTTCAAGCAATGTAGGCTAACCAGTAACGTGGGTAAACCGTTTCTGAATAGTTCTCTGTACAGAACCGTTCAGCGATTAGTTGCTGGTGCCATCAGTGGTGTGAACGAAAACTAGAGCTGTAACTCCGATTCTATGTTTAACCGTTTGTGGGATAATAATTAACTTCTTCATGCAATGAAAAGAAAAATACTAATTCTGAGATTCTAAATTTTTTTACGCGAATTATTTTTTTTTAAAACAGCTTTACAACTGTTTTAAACCAGATATATTTTATTTTATCACTTTTTTAAATGTCTAATAATATTCGATTAATTCTATGAATTGTGTAAATTTTTATTATAATTTTTTTCTAGTTAGAAAACCAAATTATTTTTATCCCACAATTTTTAACAAATAAAGGCGGATCTTTTCAATGATAAATATCGAAGCTAATAAGCGAAATAAAATAAATAAAAAAAATAAGCGAAATATGATGATGAGAGATATTAAAAATAGATTTTGCTTAAGATTACCTAGAATGTGTTAGGAGGCCATGATAGTGTTTGTATAGTTGTAACTGTTGTGTATGGAATAATATAATACAATGTAATTTTATTAGATTTTATTTATTTTACATTCATTTTGACATATATACCATTTTTTTTAAAAGATGAGGGTATTTCAACATGGCAAATAAATTACAATAGATAATATTTCAATAAATATATCAGAAAATATATATTTTTTAATAATAAGATAATAATAAGATAACAATAGATAATATTTCAATAAATATATCAGAAAATATATATTTTTTAATTCACTAATTAGTTAATTACTTTGACACACAAGTTCACAGACTGTATTTACTAATTTTGGAAACGGTACCATATCCACTAATGAATTACCTATATATTTTAATCCGAAAGAGATATTTTGTTGTTCTTCTTACTAACTCTGCTTTCATTCTAATTAAATTTAATTATGCGCTTTCGCAAATGACCTATAAAGATAATTTTCAACGCAATTGCACTGGGACTCAAGATCCAGGATAATCAAGGGTTTGTATGCAGTCGCGCGGCTCATCTCATAATCGATGAATTCTGAGAAATGTGCCAGCGATGGAACTAATTGCGCTAAATTCTTATTCTTTATCTTTTTATTCTCTTCATCTTAAACTGTAACATTTTCAGATGAATGGGTTAATTATCGCATTAAGTTCATTTATCAATCAAATGCGATCTACATATAGTTTCTGAGATCTAATTGCTTGGGATCAAAATTCTCGGTTAATTAATAAATAGATACTTTTGTATCTAACAATCCTAATCTGTTATAAGTAATTCTATGAATATCTGTATGTTTAAATTAATATATAATTTATAATTTTATTTATTTTAGTAAGAGAGAGTGAGAGTTTATTAATTTGAAAATATAAAATTGTACATTTATAATTAAAAAATTCATAAGTTTACAATTCTACATTGATACAAATCATATCTAATTGATTATGAACTAAGTTGATACCTAAGAAATTAACAATCTTACGATTACTGATAAACATTAAAAATTTGGATATATCTAATCTGATCGTTACGACGACGTCGCTTAATACTTGTCGTAATCGTGTCTCGCTGTCGTCCTACGCAGGAAAGTAACCAAGTTTTCACCCGTCGCATATCGCAGCTGTCCGCCGCGCGGCGCGATAGCGTGGGTGTCGTGACCTCGCTCAACGAAAACCTTATATTTCTGAAAGGTGAGTAAAAAACAGACTTGAAGCCCTCTCGTACCACCCACGAGACAGTCGGCACCCACGTTTCGCCAGGCACCTGTGCGACTAGCCGGTCATGTTGGCCAATACCGGTTGATCGATCGATCGGTCCAGCTTATGATGCAATCTCTTCTATTCAAGATTCGATTTCTGATTAATTCGCGAATATTGAGGCATCTGTCGCTGTCCATATGTTTCTCTTTAATTGTGTCTATTAAAAATAAGTTTCTACGAAAGCGTACAAGATAAGATATCTTTACTTCCATTTTTCTGATAATTTTTCTGATAATCGCCAGATAATTTGTTATTTTCTAATAACAAAACTCTTTTAGAATTGTAATTTAATTATTTGTGTGCATGTGCGACTTAAATGAAAAATTGCAAAAGTATGTCTGTAATGTATACTAATTTCTTATCGTTGTAGACATCGTCAGGCAGTATCGCGTGCGTATGCAAAATGCGTACTGTAAGACGCATTGCAGCTCGAGCGGAAGTGCAGAGTGACCAACACGCACGACATGGCAGCGCATTCTCGTCGCATGGATCTTTATTTGACATAAAGTCTGATACACGTGTCTCGTCGATACGACAATAAACATGCCAACCATGTTTATACGAGCACTTCATATATACATTGAACCACGCGTAAACATTGTCTAATGATTTATGCAGGAAATGCATCTTTTCTTTTTTTACTCATTCCGAATGCACGAAATAGTCGAGGAGTGATTTGTAAAAAAGTTCGCAAATACGGTCGGAAATACGCACATAGTCATAAAAATGTTTACTTGTATGTATACGTATTGTACAAAAAATTAAATGGATATGATGTAAATTTGTTGTGCATACGCATGCACATTTTGAGGTATTGGATAATTAACTATCCAGATAGCACCGAAGAAAGTTCGAAAAGAATTTTTTTTATTCCCGACTTACAAAATAGATTCATGTTTCATCTCATTCATGTTTTAGAAGTATGTATTTCTGAGAGTCCCAAAAGATTTCGCTTTTATGCCGCTAATTGTGAGTTCTCACTTCTTTTTCAAATTCAAAAGATATTCTTCTTCTTTTTCTATTTTTTTATTTTATGGAAGAGTAAATTATACTTTGTTTTTATACAAACTAAGTATCACTTTTGTTAAAAGTAACATATGTGTATAAATATAATTATACATATATTATTAATATATATAATATAAAATTATTAATGTAATATATATTTTTTTTGAGTTTATTTATACCAAATTACGCTATTTCATGAATTTAAGAATACTTTGCAAATTCAAATGGATTAGTTGTGCTATCTGGTACCTGCCTCAGACAAACAGTGCTTATGCAGCGATACGATATGTCTTCCGATGCTGACTATGCAGAGAGAGATTTTATCGTGAAAAGCTAGTATTTATTACGGTGAGATCATTTAATTAGCTGGCAATGTAATTAAACAGAGAGTGTTATATATTACTTGAAAGTAAGCTGATTAATATCATCTTTTGATGTCTTACAATTTGTTGAAAATATGCAAGATTTTTAGATAATAAAAGTATATCGAAAATCTTACATTCTTTGATTAATTTTATTAAAATTATGTTAATGAAAATGCCGTTTACTTCAAATGACTAATTAAAAATTTAATAGTTTTCATAAACGCTTGATAAAAAAATTTATAATAATAAAAAAAATAATAATAGTTAGAAAATAAAATGTTATTTTTGCTTTATTGTAAAATGTTTCTTTTTTCTTTTCAAATTATAATTTCCATCCGTTTGTTATTGAGTAAAATTATCCTTACAATTATCTCAATAAAAGTCACAAGCATGCAAATTACGCAAAGCATCATCACAGGCAAGTCGTTCAAACAAGCAAACAGAGTGTAACGAAAAATGAAAACGTACGCAAGACACATGATCGTAAAACATGTATTATGAAACGAATGCTCGTCAGCTATGTAAAGTGCGCGAATTTTGTTGGTACGGCACACGCATCTGGCAATCTATTTCTTCATTCGTAACAACGTTGCATTCCGCCGTCGTCGCTTTTTGTGCCATCGAATCGAATTCTTATACCTTCCAAGTTGCCTCGAGCAGCGGAAACCTTCTGCGTTCCGATAGCAAGTATATGCGAGTGCACGCGCTTCCGTTCTTACGATCACGAACTTCCACATTGGTATCGGTTGACATGCACGCGTATGTCGATACATATTTTATGTTTTAGTAACTATTTTGACAAAAATTTGATCCCGTTCAACGTGTCTACCATCGCGATTTTTTATGCGCCATTCTTCTGTTTCAGAATTTCTCTCTCTTTTTCTCTTCCTTAACGTGAAAAATCAGGTCCTTGTCAAATGCCTTCATTATTATTTCGATAGTTGGTTACTATATTGAATGTTATCCCTGATTGACAATGACAAAAACTCTATTATTCTCGCAAAGATATATGAGAGAAAGGAAACAACAAAATTGAGTTTAATGGATGTAATGATGGCAAAGTGGTGAAATTCGTATTTCCCTCTGGCTAAGAAATACTTGTCATGATTTACAGCCGTATCCAGAATCTTTTTTACAGGATAGATTGAAAGAAGGGAGAAGATTGGAATGGAAAATGTTGCAGATGCAGAAACAAGATGGTAAAGTGATATTAGTTCGAGTCGGTTAAATTGATATTAAAAGATTTAATTTGTTATTTATACGCGTCATTAAGTAGGAATTATGTAATTTTCTTAGTAAGAAATATTTTTCTACTTGTTAAGAATAATATAAAAATATGCACTTAAATTTTTTACAAACGTATTAATAACTAGCTTCAAATGGCGCGTAAAAAGTATGAAGAGAGAATATTTGAACGTAAGTGAAAATGTTTACAAGATGCTATACATATTTTACATTATTTTTTAATAAAAATAGGTTTACACATATTTATATCTATAAAAATAGTACGGAAATAATTGCTTAATGAAAATATGTATATTGTAACATAGAAGTCCGAGTTCGTGCATCCCGACTGTACATCTTTATTGATGAACCTTCCGTTGCAAATGCCCGAAGAAATATCCCGAGATGCATCCAGTATCCGCGACCGCTGTTCCCATCCATCCTCAAGAGGACAATAGGTTCTTCTGACAAAG